TCAAAATTGCCACTTTTGGAGAACAATTGCTCAATTAACCTGTCATGGCTTCCCTTTCCCTTATCTGCAACATTAAAGAGTACTTGAGTTTCATAAAAAATTACTGTTTTTTTCTTGTTTAGGCTTAAATGATTTAACTCAAAGTAAGATCACTGTCAAGTAAGCTGAATTGAGCTGCATTTGATAAAGAACAAGGACGAAGAAGAAGTGGTTGTTACCTGGAAATCTTCTAAATCTGCCTAAATTAAAGCTTTGATGCCTGGAGATTGCCTTGTCTTTCTGGTTCCCTAGAGTGGATTCTTGATGGAAAGTAGGTTTCTCCTGAGACGAATTATAGAGAAAGTTAAAAGTCCTTGAGGGTCGAATTATGGATGGTGCAGAATCAGGCAATTCTCTTCCATCAACTCCAAATCTCCTTAAACCTTTAAAACTGTTGTTTCTTGTTACAAGCACAGGAGCAAGATGATGAGTTGGATTCACACCTTTCTCAAGCTGCATCTTCAATTCTTGTCTTGCTCTACTGTTGGCAATGAGACTCTCCATCCTACATTTTCTTTCTAACTCTGAAAATCCGAGATCCATGGAATCTTTCTTATCATTCTTTGGCCAGCCTACTACATCTTTAATCCTATCATCATCATCCTTTTGCCCTTCATTCTCATCTTCCTTAATTCCTTCCATGATACCAAAATGCACCAAGTCACTCATTGAAGGCTCAGAGCGCAAGGTTTGCCGACTAGGACTCGCAGATTTCTTGGCAGGCAAGCAATGATCAGAAGAACCATCTCTAGATCTGTCAAGAGAGTTATGGCCTTTGTTCTCTGAATTTATCTCAGAAACAGCATTGTCAAATTCAGTATTACCGCCATGCAAACCCCATTTCTTGTCTCTGCAACTTTTTCTTCTACTCGTGTTATAATGTGAGGAATAGGTATAGTATCTGTCAAGAACAAAGTCACTTCTGCAATACTTGCCGGCGAGCCTCGAATGCTTCAAGTCACTCCTTCTCCTCTCTCTTTTGACATATGTCAGCTGGGGTTGCTCAGAACTCCAGAATATTCTGATGAAAATGGCAGTGACTACAATAAATGGGGACAAGTAAACCAGGAAGCTGTAAATGTAAGAGAGGAATATGTAGAGGATGAAGGAGACTGAGAAAACACCAGACACTACTGGATGCTTCTGAACAAATGCGTAGCTTGTGTTGCAAAAAGCCACAATCATTTTGCACAAACGAAGTGAAATTTCCTTTGCATTCAAACCCATCTTTTCTTGTCTATCCTCTAAATGTGAAAAGTGAAACTTAAATTGATCTGAGGCTGATGGGTTGTTTTCTGGCACATCCTAACAATAGAAAACTCAACAAGTTAGCCTTTATCCGATTGGGAACAAGTAACTGTGATTATATATGTTTGTCAACAGTTATCTCCATTGATAATATGAGTAAAAAAAAAAAAGGTTTTCTACCATGGGAAGACATTGAAATGCAGAGTAATGCAGCTTTTTTGTGGTTTTCTTTCCTGGGTTCTTGGAATTTTCCGGGAAAGTGTAGAATTTTAGAAGGAATCAACGCAGAGAGAGAGATAAAGTTGGACTTCCCCAAATTTTGGCGAGTAGTAAGAAAAAAATTGATAAAGCGGTTTGATCTTTTCCTCAACAAATGGCTAGCCATTGAACAATGTCTATTCATCTTTTTTTGGAAACTTTTGCTTGGCTCACAGTTTCATTTGATCCTTTAATTCAGGAGTTTTTACCATGTATTTACCTACCAGTTGTAATTAACTTAAAAAAGGGACAACATATAACATAACCAATATGCCCTGTCTCAAGCTATATAAATAAATAACTATGCAATAATTAAAATCATATTTCAATCTGAATACTGAACACAAATGTTTTATTTATTGACAAAACCTATTTGCCTTAAACCTATTTTGATGATCTCTACCCTCGAGAGGATTAGTCTCGAGTTATTGGTTGGGGATACAGCCTAATTTCTACTGAAAAAAAAATCTATTTGCTTTAAATTTGCGAATTTTTTTGGGAAAATCACTAACAGGTCCCACAAAAGGCAATTTATTACTTTGAGGTCCCATGAAATGTCAAAATCACTGACAAGTCCCAAGGGACCTCAGAGTAATATTTTCGTTTTGTAAAATGACATTATTGCCCCTCATATTCCATATTCACATTTACTCTGTCATTACGATTTACAACCTCAGCAGCGACTATTAACAACCTAATGAGAGGGCGTTAACAACCCTAGCAGTATCCGTTAACAACTTACTTTATAGAATATATAACCTCCGCATAAGAGTAAATTATAACCAAATAGTAATACAACAACTTTAATACTAAAATGGGAAGCTTTTTGATATCATTAAGAATTTTAACCAAACCCAGTAGGATTATAGCAACATTTTAATGCGAAGATCCATTTACAACCTCAATGGTGAGTATTAATAACCCAAAGAGAGCTGTTGACAATCTAGGCAGTATCTATTAACAATTGACTTTATAGGATAATATAACATCTAACAACTATATAAGATTAACTTTAAGACTATTTACTTATAGTTTAGTTAGTTATAGCTAGAAGTTATATTATCCGATAAAGTTAGTTGTTAACAGACATTGCTAAGGTTGTTAACAATTCTCTTTAGGTTATTAATACTTACTGTTGAGGTTGTAAATGGATTTTCGCATTAAAATGTTGCTATAATCCTATTGGGTTTGGTTAAAATTCTTAATGATATCAAAAAACTTCACATTTTAGTGTTAAAGTTGTTGTATTATACTATTTGGTTATAATTTACTCTTACGCGGAGGTTATATAATTCTATAAAGTAAGTTGTTAACCGATACTGCTTAGGTTGTTAATGCCTTCTCATTCGGTTGTTAATAGTCGCTATTGAGGTTGTAAATGGATCTTCGCATTAAAATATTACTATAATCCTATTGGATTTAGTTAAAATTCTTAATGATATCAAAAAGCTTCCCATTTTAGTGTTAAAGTTGTTGTATTATACTATTTGGTTATAATTTACTCTTATGCAGAGGTTATATAATTCTATAAAGTAAGTTGTTAACGACTACTGCTTAGGTTGTTAATGCCCTCTCATTCAGTTGTTAACAATCGCTGTTGAGATTGTAAATGGATATTCGCATTAAAATATTACTATAATCCTATTGGATCTAGTTAAAATTCTTAATGATATCAAAAAATCTTCTCATTTTAGTGTTAAAGTTGTTGTATTATATTTTGGTTATAATTTACTCTTATGTAGAGGTTATATAATTCTATAAAGTAAGTTGTTAACGGATACTACTAGTGTTGTTAACGCCCTCTCATTAGGTTGTTAATAGTCGCTGCTGAGGTTGTAAATCGTAATGACAGAGCAAATGTGAATCTGGAATATGAGAGGCAGTAATGTCATTTTACAAAACGAAAATATTACTCTGAGGTCCCTTGGGACCTGTCAGTGATTTTGACATTTCATGGGACCTCATAGTAATAAATTGCCTTCTGTGGGATCTGTTAGTGATTTTCCCATTTTTTATCCATAATAATCATGCCTCATTTGTGTTTTTAATTTATAATAATATTGCGATGTATAATTAACATGATGTTTGATTGCCAAAAACTAAAAAGAAAAAACGACATGATGGTTTTATGTACGTAGAATTAAAAATATTACTGAAGCTCGTATTTTGGTTACGTTAATATTTTAGAATGATACCTTAAATATACATTCACAATTTATCTATATTTAGACTTAAATTTTAATAGTTAAATAAAAGATAATTTAATACTTACATGTGTTAAAACATTAGATAATATGTGTGCGTGTGTATTTATTTTTTGACTAGCAGTGCGCGTATGTATTTAAAGTCACTTAATTTAATGAATATAAATAATTTTTTATAAGGTACCGGAAATATCGCTCGTCAATAACAAGGAAGTCCTTCAATACAATGATCCACCGATCTAATCTTAAATATGTATTAGAGCCAAGATCTAGTTAATTAATTTGGAGGGATTAAAAAAGTTATACAAATTGTTTTAAAATATTATATTTATTATTTTTTTAAAACTAATTTACTTGGCTTATAAACAAACATACTTTTCTAGTCCTATTAAGAGCTTAATTGTATTCATAACTCACTTCGTTAAATTCTTAGCATGAATATACTATTTTTTCTTTATTTATTATCATATGGGTAGTTATTTTTTTAAGAAAAATGTAAAGTGGAATAAAATTAAAAAGTTGTTATATTTTAGTAGAGAGTTAATGCATTTTAAGATTTTTCTTGATCTATATAAAATATGTTGAAAGTACTTTAGAAATAAATATAATCTAATAATACATATAGGTACTTTAAAGAGATCGTATAACATATATTATAATTAAGTAATTTTTTAAAATTTTTAATTTCTTCAAATCAATCAATCTTATATTACCTCTGGTCTTTAATATAAGATATTATTTGACTTTTATTTTGATCCTCAATATAAGATCTCAATTCATTTTGTCTCTCATATTTATGTTTTTTTCCAAGATAATCCTTCTAACAATGATAGTTGTAACTAATACATTTTATTAGTAATGATATTTTAAGAAAGACAAAACTTATTTATTACAAATAACTAACTTAACTTATTTTCTTAATTTTCTCAAATTGATTAACTAGTTCTTATAATTTGTGGAAGAAGTCATACATATTATTCATAGTAAATTTTCTTATACACTCTTCGTCATATAACATAAAATGTAATAAAGATAAAAATAATTTTCTAAGTAAATATATTTTTACATCCATAATTAAAAATAATTAATACCAGCATTTAATTTTTAGAGATTTAAAAAAAAAAAAAAACAAAAGAGTGAGCAGTCGGCTTATAGTTATCTTTCTTCTTTTATTTTCACCTTTAAATTTGACAAAAGTGACTTCTCTTTTCACCTTTTGCTGCTTCATATTGAGAAACCATTTTGGGGATTCAGCTCGCCCTAGATTTTCAGTCTCTTGATACTCTGTATCCAGAATTTGGGTATTTTCATTCCTAGACCCTAGTCGATCATTCACTGGGGTGAGTTATTCTCTTGTTCAACGGCATCAGTTTTCCCGAATTTGTTTCCCATTGGATTTTCTTGCTTCTTTGCCAAATGGCCTGAGATTGAGTAGCTTTTGAGCTTTTTGCATCGGCAACTTGAAATGATCTTATCATCCTATCCAATTGAGGTCTTACTTGTTGTTTAGTTTCACTCGGATTCTTCATTGCGTCTATAAAGCTGATGATGTATGAAATAGAAAATTCAACTTTGCCGGGCTCTTGCACTTTCGAGCCAAGTTTTGTGGTTCTTGAATTTCCCCATGATTATCAGAATGCTGGAGAGGTCTTAATAGTTGTTTAGTTTTACTTGGATTCTTTATTGCATCTTTGATTTTGATGACGTATGGAATGGAAAATTGAACTTTCCCGAGCTTTTGCATACTTTCGGAGCCAAGTTTTGTGGCTCTTGAATTTCCCCATGGTTATCAGAAGCTGGAAAGGTCTCATTAGTTGTTTAGTTTTACCTGGGTTCTTTATTGCATCTTTCATTTTGATGACGTATGAAATGGAAAATTGAACTTTCCCGAGCTCTTGCATACCTTCGAAGCCAAGTTTTGTGGTTCTTGGATTTCCCCATGGTTATGAGAATGCTGAAGCCGAACGTCATTTCTTCCTGAGTTCATTCATTAACCTTAGAATCACTTGCATATTCGTACAAATCTCTGTTTTCTGGGTGGATTAGAAGTGATTTGTTCATAGCTGGCAAAAAAAAGAAAAAAAGAAGAAATGATTTGTTCATAGCCATTATGTTTAACTTCAAATCTAACTGTATGGTAATGTATTTTGCTTTGTTGAGTAGCATAACGTATCGTTTCAATAATTTAAATATTCTCTTTTAAATGGCTATCTGCAGATTCCAGTTTTGAAGCCCATAATATAGATTTTTGCAATTCTTCCTTTCAAGTTTCTTGATTTCTCTGAGAACCGCATGGTGGATACTGGAATGGCAAGCGAAGATTCCCAAATATATCATGAAACTCAAAGGCTGCAGTATTGCCTAATTCATTGCCTGAACAATCTTTTTCAGGTGCCTATTTTGTGCTCCCTTTCATATCTATAGTAACTCTTTTAGTTTCGTTGATTGTTTCATGAGAAGTAGCCGCAATCAAATCAAATGTAACCTTTATTCTTGAATTTTAAATGGATAGAAGTTTATCAGAAACTCTTCACTGAGTTGCCCTAAGGTAAGATGATCCAGTTTGTTAAAGATTTCCTAGGATCAGTTGGGAAGTATGTATTAGAACGCAGTTGATTTTCTTTTTCCTCATAGCAATTCCTAGTGAAAAGAATTTCGTTATTTTAGAAATTTCTGTAATTTTATTTCTTCTTCTTCTTCTTCTTTTTTGTTTTTTGTTTTTTTTGTTTTGTGTTTTTGTTTTGTTTTGGGGAATTGCTTCTCTTCCATCAGGAAAAGGATGCCTTTACTCGGGGAGGCTTGAATGCAATTTCTGAAAAACTTACGTCCGATGATCCTGAACGAGCAGACTGGACGCCATTATCAGTTGTTTTTAAGCCCCATCATAACGTCCTGACTGGAAACTACGACATAAATGTTCTGATTGCGGCCTTGGAAGAGAGAGGGAAGAGTGTAGTCTGGCATGATCGTCGTAATGGAGCTTCCTCCATTGATCTCAATGCACCTGATGAAACTTTAATGGGGATTGTGCTTAATGTCCCAGTTAAGAGGATTCTTGGCCTTTGGAAAAGCAGACACTGGGTTGCATTGAGGAGGATTGATGGGGTGTGGTATAACTTGGACAGTGATCTTGCTTCACCAGAACCTTTCAAAGATACAGATGAAGTTTGGGGGTATTTGGATGCTGTCATTGCTTATGGTGGTGAGGTTTTGCTTGTCATGAATGAGAAACAGTCCTGAAACCCTTCACCCTTTTTGGCTTTAGTTGTTTTAATGCAAGCTTGACTGTAGATTGTGTTCATTTGTGTACAGTACCAGCTTGATGATGGGTTTTTGGAGTATACAGCTACACAACTAAAAGAAAAATCTTAGCCCTGTTAATAACAGGAAATCATCAGGGCAATTTTGTTTGTGAAAGATATTTCAATAATAAGCAATAGAGGGTTCCCAGAAGGTTAGCCCTGGTGAATGCTTTGACTTGAATTGTCTCTCATCACTGGCAAGGTGTTTTGACTGGTTCTCTTGAAGAATAAATTTCAGGGATTTGTGTGATTCATAATATTAGATATCGTTGTTAATGTACATAGAACTTGATAACGGATCGCTGACAATTGAGATTTGTATATCATCTTCAGGCAGATATGATGCAATCATGGAATTTGACTGTAATCCACACATTGTGGTTGTTGATATTTGAATGAAAATCCTTCCAATAATCCTTTGTCAAGTAGTGACCATCTTCCTATTGCAATTTTCTTGCCATTCTACGTGTTCACTTTAGGCTATAATCATATAGCTGCTCTTGAGGAATGTGTATTGAATTTGATCCGCATATCACATTCCGCAAGCCACAATCCACAGCATGGTGTCTTGAGTTCTAAATCTTGAGCTACTTACAAACAGATTAACTGAGTGATTAAGTTATGGTTCTATATACATAAGCCACCAAAAGTTACTCTGCAATCTGTTTAAACCATTTATCTAAGCAAAGAGAAATGTTATCTTATCTTAATCGATTGATGAACAATTTACAAGGTCGAAAGCATTGTATGTATCCATTTCATATTTATATTTATTTGACTAATGCATTTAGTTTCATGTTGAAAATCCCTATAACCATTAGGGATACCAAAACTAAACACACTCTTTCTAAGCATTCCAAATACCCCTTAATATAAAAGATAGTTAGTGAGTTAGTTTTGATAAAAATGTAAACTTTTAATCTACTTTATTTTTTATATTTATTTTTTTCTAAATTAATTTATCAAACTCATAAAATAATATATAATCTAATATTACAGGAGATCAGGTCAAATTTGTTAAAATGAAGCAAGTTAATTAACTTTCTTAATTTATCCAAATTAATTAAAGAATTTCCACATGCACTAACCGGAGGAGCTGGATCCTCTGCACATAGTTAATTAGCACTGTTTAGCTTCTCTGTTAGTGCTCTAAATGAACTGCAGTTTTTGCTATTACACATTGTCATTTGAACATATTTAACAGAGACCAGTTTAAATTTCAATTTACTGTCTGAAAAGAAGACCAAAATCAGCATGCAGCAATATCCTTAAAAGAATAAACATAAGTTGGGGATGCAAAAATAATGGTCAAAAGCATAATACAGAGGAACAATAAAGCAGGCAATTTGAGGCCTTGTCATCATTTCTTGGCAAACAATCCTCCAAAGCCACCATTCTTCTTTTGGGGCATGGCGACAGAGTTTCTCCCGCCACCGCTGGTGGTGCCTCTACTCTTTTCCTCCACCTTGTTGAGTATAGGATCAGTCTCAAGCAGCTGGTCTTCCTTCTGCAAGCCTCCCAAAATCCAATCCAGAAGACCTTTCTCCTCTTTGCCGCCGCCTGCGCCCTTTGCAGCCGCCGTCGCAAACACTCTCGTGGTGGCCGGAGCAAATGACATGATCACAGAAGCCATGTTTTAATGCCCCGAGCTAAGCTTTGAACTACAAAACCTGCTTTCTCAGAGAAATTACAAAAATGGGGAGGTTAATAGCCAACAATGATAATATATCACTTGTGGCTGATTGGTTCTGTGAGATGAATACGAAGCGTTGGATTAGATTTTGAAGGTAAGTGAGAAGGGAGAGGGCATGAGGTCTCCACAAGCGTCTTATCTTAGACTCTTTGTCCCCAGATAGTGAGGTGAGGCTGTGGATTCGACGTGTGGCCATCACAAAACCAGTGGGGTGGGGCTGTTTGTTGGGTTTTATTTTCGCTTTTGCAACTTGCAAATACTAAGCTAGATCTTACTTCACATATAGAATACCCCCTACAATATTCAATGAATTGAACAAATTATTTAATTATAATATACCTAATATGTTATCTCTAAAATATCTCTATATGATCTTAAATTATATATCAATTTATAAATTATGTAAATTAATTTGGAAAAAATGATAAAAATATGATAGACAAAATTGATTGAGGTTTTATATTCAGGAAGACTATGTCAACCTCCAAAGTTGACATGATCTTCTTAAAATATTCCTATAAGATTATATTTTGGTTTATAAATTAGGCGAATTAATTTAGTGAGAAATAATAAATATGAAATATAAAATAAATTCAATTAGATGAATTAATTTAGGGGAAGTTTTCATTAAAGGACCTTTGTGGCAACATAATTTTCATTCAGGACCAAACAATTCTGAAATTTCACTGCAGTTTTTTGGGGGCAAAATGAAATTAAATTGAGAAGTAAAATGCCCAGATTCCCTTAATGTTTGAAGAAGGGGAAAAAAAAAGATCTAATAGGCTTTTACTCTCGTAATAAAAACCAAATTTTCTCCACGGTATGAAAATTGGTCTGTGTTTTCTGTGCTATGTTATCTCAACGTTCTTGTTTCACATTCTCTGGTCCTGTCTTTGATGGTTCTTACCCACAAAGTCCTTCTCCATCTCTTCTATTTCATATTACCTTAGGGAATTTGTGAGTTTTACAATCATTTATTTGTAATTACCTTTAGGAGTTTATTTTGTATAGAAAGATACAGGTTGAATGTGCGCATATGGCTCCCTCATGTATCAGTTTTCTTCTGAATTTACGATAAATATGGCTTGCTTTTCAGGTGGAAGAGTGCAGTTTGAGGAGCCAACTTATGCAAATCTATTCAATCGGCCACAAAGCTAAAATAGTACAGTTATAAGCACAAGATATTTTCATTCTTGGTCCATATTGTGCTGCTATTCTACTTGTGCAATATGATATCCACTGAGACAAAGTAATCACGGCTGAATTGTGGTATGTGCATATACATGATGCAGATTTGTTCATAGTTGAAGAGACGGAATCAACAGTACGAGAAGCCATATGGATCTATTTCTCTTTGTTGTGTTTAAAATGTGCACAAAATCCTTCTCCATTTCTTCTATTGTGTATTTTATGAGTCTAGTTTGAGTTGTCATGGTGTTCTGAACCAGTGAGAAATTTTTTTACTACTAAGATTTGAGATAGAATTATTCAGTTGGTTGAGTTTAGAGTCACACCGTTGAGTATTAAGGGTGTGTCTTTCAGTTCCTCTCATGAATTGTATTGTGAATTTGCAAATTTCACTTGTTCATAGAAATGGTGATTTGGTATTGTGAAAACTTGTATTTCTGTTATAAATTTGCAAACTCCTATTGTAAACATATACTGCGTTTAATTATTAAAAATTGATTAAAATTAGTACTTGAATGATGTGCAACGACATATTATATATGGCTAGTGGCAGTGGTACTAAATGTTTACAACTTCATTCATTATTTTGGGTTTTTATTGTTGCACCTGCATAAATGTATTGATAGTTCTTATCCTTATGCTATAGGAACAACACACTGCACTAAAGTCCGAGTTATTGCTGTAGTTAGTTACTCATAGAAGAAATACGAAGTTAGCTATTGATGCAAAACTATTTCAACAGATAAAGGAACAACTGAAAAGAAAGCAATGACATAGTAGTTATATCTGAGATATAATTTAAACTACTTTAGAATATGTTCAAATTTGTGTACAAAGAATTTGTACAATTTCAGTTTTAAGGAATATGCATTATGAGTATTTTTCATGTCAATTAGTTCTAATCTTTTGCCTATCCCCGCCAATTTACATGTATATGATGTACTATTGACAAATGATATTAGGCAATTTGTAACAAGGATATATTAATTAACAACTTCATGTTCTTGAAATGTGGCCATCATATTGACAACTAGAATTGGAAAATTTGCAAGACAGATACATATATTAACAACAAGAATATATCCATTTGCAAGTGAACTAGTTAAATTGAAGAAGATGAACATGATAATTCACAAGGCTGGGAGTGTGATGACCGTTCTTCCAAAAACTCATTTAGATTAAATCAAATAATTTATTTAAAAGATTAACTATGATAGAAAAAAAAACCTTAAAATTATAAAACTATTATCATGGTTAAAAAGAAAAAACTTATATCACATAACATCAATTATTAACTTTGGGCCTTGAACCTCCAAAGTCTAAAAATACCATCAACTATTAGGCCAAACAAAACTTATACTTTTAAATATACAAATTGATAAATCATTTTAAAATAAGTTATGAAATCCGTTGATCAAAGTCAATGCTTTCAAAAGAGTGTAACATGCAAAGTTTTAGAGGCCTTTGGCCTTCTAATGGCCCTCCCATCAAATAACATAGCAGTAATCAAAAGTATTAGTTTGCAATATCAAAGTAAATGAGCCATATATGGCAATATATAATCAATCCGCACATAAATAAAAAAAGAAAAAGAAAGAAGGGAGGCTATACAAGCTATACAGCATACCTAGCCTCCGTAGCCTTCCTGATAGATCATCACCTGAATTATCATCTGAAGATAATAGAAACCACGAGGTGAGATAAAAGCCTCAGTAACCAACTTTCCAACTCATCATACATACTAACATGTGCTTATGGGGTGTCAAATGAGACAGTAATTAATTCTCAAAAAATATAGATATATTAATAGAAATATAAAACACGTATATTAAGATAATCTCTTTGCTAAAAAAAGAAGAAGATAATCTTAACCATCCAAACCCTCACCACGGGGCCAATACACAAATTACATAAGTCTATCTCTCATTTTGGGGGATGAATAAGAAGCCACAAAGGCATATCCCTCACTATAGGGGATGAAGGAAACCAACTAATGTGCACTAATGGCAGCCTTATCACGTGATAGCATAGAACTCAACTCAAAATCCAAATAAAAACCAATCGTTTGAAATATAATGAGAGATATTTCAATCTTTTCTCAATATAATCCATAACATATAAATTATATATTTTTTCAAACAGCTCAGTCACAATTCCAAAAGTCCTATAAGACAATTTTCATAACTCAAAAGGTATAATATATCTACTTGAGTTTCAAATAGCACATCATCATTCTTAAATAACAAAATACTCACAAATAACATATTAGCATATATAACAAATGGAAAGTAGTCACTTCTTGCCAAAATAATAAAAAGGATTATTACAAGGTTAATCCCATACTCAACCAATAATTAATCTACATAATTAATATGAACACATATTAATATAAAATTTTTAATTAATTAATTAAGCTTATATATTTTAGCTAAATTTCTAATTTAATTTAATTGTATAAAATTCTTAATTTATAAGTTAAGCTTCAAACTTTAAAAATTCTCTTATAATATATTCTCAACATTTTTAACATTCAAAATTATATTCTCAACATTTTTAATATTCTAAACCGATTAAAATGTCAATAATATGTCAAAAAAATCCAAATAAATTATTTAACTTAATTTTAATCAGTACAAATATGATATATATCATAAATAACAGATTTTTTAACTAAAAAAGTTAATTTAAATACCAAAAACTAACAAATGGGTAAATCTAAACTGATTAAAATTAACTACTCATTCACTTCTAAATTCCTATGGTCATTTATTATCAAAACTTAATACTTACTCCATACCTAAATCTTAAAATATTCTCTAATCACTATAATAACATCGTCATTAGAAAAATTAAAATATATAGGAAATATTCATGAAAAAATTTTGATGAAAAGAAGTAATTTTATATACTTAAATTATCTTTAAAACTTGTCCTCTCCTTCATAATGATTGCCGATATACTCCTTGCTCCTTCTTCCACACTCTTTCTCTCTTTCTCTCTTGCGCCTGATAGGAAAACTGAATTGTGGGGGTATATTTAATATGCCCATACATTTATTAGGGGGAGCTTCCCCCTAATAAAGTCTTTCCAAACTTTCCTCTGAATTTTTTGTGGAAAGTCAAAAATTATTATTACTTTATTATTTTATTATTTTTTTGTATAAATCCTAAAATAAAATTTAGGATATTACAAGGAGGAACTATTCACAAGTAGAATTAGGTGATTTACAATACAAATATACCCATTAACAATAGAAATATATCCATTTGCAAGTGAATTTATTTAATTTATGAGAACAATAATTTACAAGTCTAGGAGCAATGGTTTACAAGTGAAATTAAGAAATTTATGACACAAATATGCTCATTAACAATTTAAATACATTCATTTGTAAGTGGATTTATTTCATTTATAAAGTTGAACAAAATAATTCACGAGTATGGGAGCAAAGGTTTACAAGTAGAATTAGGAAATTTGCAACATGGATACGCTCATTAACAACATAAATACGTCTATTTGCAAGTAAATTTATCTTACTCATAAAGTTGATAAAACAATTCATGAATCTAGGAGTGACAGTTCACAAATAGAATTAAGACATTTACAACATGGTTCTATTTACAAGTGGATTTATTTCATTTATAAAATTGAACAAAACAATTCACAAGTCTGGGAGCAACAGTTCACAAGTAGAATCAAGACATTTACAACATAGATCCGCTTATTGACAATATAAATATATCCATTTGCAAGTGGATTTATTTCATTAATAAAGCTGAACAAAACAATTCACAACTTTAGGAGCGACGGTTCACATATGGAACTAGGATATTTGCAACACAAATACGCTCATTAATAACATAAACACACCCATTTGTAAGTGGATTAATTTGTTCTGCATTTATATATTTGCCAGCCAATTTCAATGCAGTACTTTATATA